CCCGAGACACATGGAAGATGCCACTTGCTACCGAATATAAATCATAGTCACTAACTGTATCCCTATAGTTAGGATCATATAACCCGACCCCCAGGACACCGAGTGACTTTACTGCCAGTACTTCTTGCTGTCCTGCGTGGTCGTGTTTAAAACTGAAAGTTCTCATCCTGAATTTCTTCCCTTTCAGCGTTTGCACAGGATGATGGCATGGTGCAGCTGCCTGGCGGGAAGTTCCAGATGGGATCCAGCTCCCTGGAGAAGAGGAATGAAGAGGGGCCCGCCAGGGAAGTGACAGTGAAGCCGTTTGCTGTCGACAAATACCCCGTCACAAACAGGGATTTCAGGTAAGGGTGAAGGGTTGGTGAGGTTTGGTTCTGCGTGGCTTATAGGGTCCTGGTAGCCTGGAGGGTGCTGGGTCTTCTGGGGCTGGTTCACAGGTCCAAGAGGCAACCCTGGGATGCTGCACCAGTTCCATGAGGACAAAAAATGTCTATCGGTAATAAATCACCTCTAGAGGTGCAAGCGGAAGCGTCTTACCAGTGTAGCTCACGAACATGCTTCTTTTCCCCCTCTCTTTGTTTCTCCTTTGCTGCTACTTCTCCTTTTCGTCTTCTTTTCAATTTTCTTTTTTCTTTTCCTTTTTTTCCTTTTCCCTTGCAAACACACCTTTGTGTGTGTGTTGTTCTTATGTACAGGGCTGTACTGCTTCAGATTTCAGGTTCCTACAGGTTCCATTTCCATTTGTAAACACTGGATTTTACAGGAGCCCTTGTACAGAGCACTAATAAATGCTCTGGGGGAAATGCCTTTATTTGCCTGGCTTAAGAAGACTCAATGCTTCCATGTACTAGTAGCTGCTCAGCAACACTCAGTAATATCAGTTACTGCAACCTAGGCAGTGAGGAGGTAAACGGGACAGAAGCAGGGGGGATATTACGCAGCAGCATGTGTCATAAGCAGGGGAAGCTCAGGTTGGATATAAGGAAGAAGTTCTTTACTCTGAGGGTGATGAGGCACTGGAACAGGGGACCCAGGGAAGTGATAAATGCTCCATCCCTGGCAGTGTTCAAGGTTGGATGGAGTCTTGGGTGACATGTGAGTGTGAGGTGTCCCTGCCCATGGCAGAGGTGTCCCTGCCCGTGGCAGGGGGTTGGAACTGGATGATCTTAAGATCCTTTCTAACCTTAACTATTCTATCGTTCTATGATTTTTTGCATTGTAAGGCTGTTTAACTAACAACAGCTGTAGGTTTAGCAGCCTTTAAGGGATTTTTGGTCTGTGAAATTGTTATATTTTATGGAAAAGCAGAATGCAGAGTGAGTTTACCTGCACAGGTAACAAAAACCCCTGTCAGATCTGTGATCAGATGCAACTGGGCTGGTTTGTCTGTTAAATCTGTATCAAACTGGCTGGAGCTGTGCTGGGGAGGAGCCCGGATGCTCTGCAGATGGGGTGTCTGTAGGTCGTGTATGTTTTGCCTTGCTCTGATCTTGCTGCGTGTGCAGATGGCTGTATTTGGTGATGTGACTCTTGAACTTTTCCCCAGACGCCTGAGTGTGTTGTGTTTATGCCAGGGAGTTTGTTAGAGAAAAGAAGTACAGAACAGAAGCAGAAGCATTTGGCTGGAGCTTTGTCTTTGAGGATTTCGTATCCGAAGAGCTGAAGAAAAAGGTCACCCAAAAACTGGAGGTAAACCTAACTCCCATGGGGATGAGTTTCAGTGATGGTGATGGAGGTGCTATTTCTGATCTCTCTGGTTTAAGTTGAATAAAACCACAGGAGGGGAGACCCTTGCTGGTATTGCTTTTCCCCTGAGTAGCAGCTACCTCTCGGTGCAGAGCCTGGCCATTCTCAGTGGGTTTTCTTTAGTTTTGGGTTGTTTTGCTTTTGAAAGTAGCAGCAGGGTTGAGCCTGAGGAGATTTATGGTGCTCCTCTGTTCACATCCTCTCCAAACACTGTCAGATTGGACTCATGAGATGCTCCAGTGAGCTGGGAGAGAAGAACGTTTCAAAGTACTTTATTAATCAAACCTTTAAATAGAAAATACAACCAGCATGGGCTTCTTCATCTGTTTTCCCTTTAAAAGCAGACACCTCTATTGGAAAGCACGACCAAAATGCCTGTGATAACCCAGCTCAAACTGCAGCATTTAACCATTTCCAGACTAAAACAAGCACTCTTCTTAACATCCACACTGTGGGGTGGTGGTCACCAGTTCAGCTTTCATCTGGTGTCATTTCTTTTCCCAGTCTGCCCCTTGGTGGCTGCCCATTGAGAAGGCATTTTGGCGACAGGTAAGTAAAGACCTGCTGTGGTGAGTCCTCTCCATGCTGGGAGCATGCATGTATTAGTGTGTGCTGAACCTTACTGACCCAAAACGGGGAAGAAATAGCATCCTTGTTTCTGCATGTTCCCTGCCTTGTTCTGTCCTTTATTCCCTTTGTAATTGAAAAGATTATAAAATCAATTAAAATCTGTTTGATGCAATTTTTCCCAGCCCTCAGGTCCTGGCTCCAGCATAAAGGACAGGCTGGATTACCCAGTGCTGCATGTGAGCTGGAATGATGCACAAGCATACTGTGCCTGGAAAGGGAAGAGGCTCCTGGCAGAGGAGGAGTGGGAATTTGCTGCCAGGGGAGGACTGGAGCGTATGTACCACAGGCTCTGTTCCCAGACTGAGGCATTGAGCAGTGTTCATTGTGTCAGATCCAAGCCTCCATCAGGGGATGTTTTCAGAGGTTAATCTGGGGGGCCTGGGAGTCAAATTGTTATGGAAGAAGCAGTGGCTTATATATAGTCTTAAGGTATGTTCCTCAACAAAGGAATGGGGCAAAGAGAGAGCCACCTGCCCCCACACACTGAGGGTGGCATAAAGCAGCCACTGGGATTGCTGAGGGGATCACAGGACTCCCTGGTGCAAGTGATGGTTTGTAAATGGGAAGCTGTTACTGATTCCAGTCTCTCCTTGGCCCTGTTTGTAGGGATTACACTGACAAGTCCCATCCATAAAACCCTTCTCCGTGTCCCAAGCTGAGCAGGAAAGGATGGACATGAAAGCCTGGTTAAAAACAGGCAGATAGACGTCTTGGTGTGACACAGGGGTAACAGGTGTCTCTTCCTCTTTGGCAGAAAGGGTGTATCCATGGGGAAACAAGTTTCAGCCAAACCGCACAAATCTGTGGCAGGTAAGAGCTTTAAAATCATCCCATGATGGGGGTGGTATTTAACATGACCAGACTGTGTGTGGCTGCCTAAAGTGGCGACATGGTCCTGGGAAGCAGTGCAGGGTACTGAATTCAGCTCCTGGTGGGTTATCCAAAATACCCTTAGAGGGGGCAAGCTCAGCCCAGCTTCCCTGGAAAACCAGGATTCCAGTGCTTCCAAAAATCCGGACATGATTTGTCTGAAAGGGGGTTGTCTTGGGAGAACCTGAGATGGGGGTGATCTCTCTTGGCCAGAAATGCTGTATGGAGTTAATTTGCAACAGAGAATTACTTCCATGGTTTAAGTGTAACACAGTGCTGTGAAGAGTGGGGCAACGGTGAATCTTTGGAATGATCTCTCTTCCCACAGGGAGAATTCCCAAGGGTCGACACGGCTGAAGATGGCTATCACGGCGTCTCACCGGTGACGGCGTTCCCTCCTCAGAACAACTATGGTACGGAACAGGCATCCCTGCCCTGGTTTGGGGAATGGCATCTGCTTCCTAAATTAACTCTTAATTACAAAATCCTGTGGTTGTGGTAGAGTTTCAGGTATGATGCGGGATCATGTCAGCATCTTGATAGAGTAACCAAGCCCAGCAAAAGCACTGATGGTTGTCACTGCTTCTAACTAGAAGTCAAGTTATTTTGCACCTCAGTGTGACTTACCTGAAAATCACAAGCACATTGTTTTAAGGGCAGCAGATGCACACAGATGGGACACATTAAAAGGTCCAGACATAACCTGGGGCCAGTTTGAAATAGAGTGAAGAGCTGCTGGTTCCCAGTCTCACCATTAACCTATGCTCTTGCAGCAGTGCTTTGAATACTGCTTCCATACACCAAAGGGCTTTTGCAGCCCGTGCAGATGTGCTCTCACAGTTCAAACCCACCCATGTCCCAGGGCTCTACGACCTGCTGGGGAACACCTGGGAGTGGACCGCATCCGAGTACCTGACTCCAGGGCTGGCATCAAGGCAGCGTGCTCAGAACATGCGGGTCCTGAGAGGAAGCTCCGGGATTCACACCGCCGATGGGTCTGCAAATCATAAAGCTCATGTTACCACCAGGTAGGTCTGGGCACTGCCCCAGGATGGAAGTGTTCACTGGGAAGGATCCCTCATTTTGGGTCTCTTCTTTTTTCCTGTGAGAATGGGGAACACACCAGACTCAGCCTCGGACAATCTCAGCTTCCGATGCGCTGCCGATGTTCCGCCTATCATGGCCAAGAAAAGCTGGACCAAACCCGAGCTCTGAGGAGGTCATTCACTCAGGAAGACCTGGAGGCATTTTCTCCTGTGGAGATGAACAGTAACCCCCAACAGTCACATTTGTTAAACCCCAGGCAGTTTAAAACATTAAATACTTTCAGCTAAAACTGCTTTACACACCAGGATGCCTGGGCACCGGCAGGGATTGGGAATGGCAGGCTGGGTGCTTTGACTGTAATGTCATTTCGGTGTGGTAGATACCACAGCTCTCCTCTTGGTGTCTGTTCTAAGTGAGCAGAGGGGTGCATGTGTGCAGGACCAGGGTCTGCTCTGACCTACAGCCCCAGCTGGAGCGAACAAACACCCACAACCCCGCCATGGGCTGTCCTGAGGGGCTGCTGATGGGGTAAAGCGATGGGGGCACACCCCTGGAAGGGGGAGTCGCACCATCAGTCCCCATCTCAGGAATTCCCAGCTTTGTACCGTCTGTGGAGCCTTCCCAGAAGTAGAACAAGGCACCTTTACTGACCCTTGAGCAGTGGCAGAGCAATGTCCGTGCTCCTTTCTAAGTGCACACATAGCACAGACCAGTGACCCATCTGTCCCAGGTTATAACCAGAACAAGGGAAACTGGCCGTGCACAAGCTCTGCCACTAAACCTGATGGGACCAGGCGCCCTGAGCACGTGGGTGGGTGAGGACAGTGCTCTGGGCACTGCTCATCCTTCCTCTGCTTGCAACTGTCCCAGAAGGATCCCACTCCAGTGCTGGGCTGTGCCCAGGGCTGAGCCTTCC